GCACTCTTGTCTATGTCCATGGGTTATGCAAATATGCATATAAATTCTTTGGTTAATTTCCCTGCTCCCCACACCTCCCAGCGGAACACACGACCCTTTATTCTGTCCTCCCATAGCCCTACATAGTGTTTCTATGATGGCACTGTAGTGAGGTTGTCTCCTGACTGTAACTTACCTCTGCCCTCAGCATTTTAGCAGCTGCAGCTGCTCAGAAACTGTCTGCTGACTTCATGAAACGCTTCCATACATTTACAAACACTGCAGGGCACTGCAGGACAGCTGTGGTCATCTTTGGCCCAGGAGCTCCTCAAGTGCAACATCATGTCTTACTCTTCTTCCCTCTCTCCCCCACCCCCCTTGCCTAGCATGGTGCCTAACAGTTCCTAGCAAATGCTAGTAGGTGCTCAGTGAGTGTCCGAATGGTTAAGCGCATTCTACACATGGCAGGGTAGGAAGGGGGTAGGAGAGTAATAAACAGGATTCTTAATATAGAAAAACGTGTGAAGTCATGACACAGTCTTCTGGCTCATGAGCATGACTGATGGCCATTTCCTGGGAAAGTATGAATTCAGTTCCCGCATTCCCAGCCGGTGACATTTCTCAGAAGTTGGACAAGGGGGTTAATAAGGACAACATACAGGTGCTTCGCTGTCAGCCCACGGGCGGGTATAATCCCCCTGGTGCAGGAGAGGAAAGAGGTCCAGAGAGGCTGCTCTCTTGCCCAAGTGCACCCACATGGTCGGGGCCAGGCCTGGCCCTGCGGCCCTCTCCACCTCCGAGGCTGCTGTCGACCTTTCAGTCTCGCTGGGCACCAGGAGAAGAGAGAGAAAGGAGCTGGGGCTCTGATCCGCAGCCTGCACGCGGCACTTCTCGCACCGGGCACTCTCCCGCACGCACGCACGCACGCACGGGGGCACTTCTCCCGCACGCACGCACGCACGCACGGGGGCACTTCCCCCGCACGCACGGGGCACATCTCCCTCTCGGGGCACTTCCCCCGCACGCACGGGGCACTTCTCCCGCACGCACGGGGCACCTCTCCCGCACGCACGGGGGCACTTTCTCCCGCACGCACGGGGCACCTCTCCCGCACGCACGGGCACCTCTCCCGCACGCACGGGGCACCTGGGAGCCAGGGTCGGCCCCGCAGGCAGAGGCACAGAGGAGGGAGCGGCGGGGCGCCGCGGGCTGGCGGCATCCCCCGCCCAGCTGGACTCGGCACCACCAGCTCCAATCCCTCGGGGAAAATGGGC